TAGGTAGGAGAAGATATATTTAAAGAAAGAAAAAGAGAAAGACCTTTCTTTCTCCTCTCCATTTCAGGACACATGTACAGACTTCTGAATGCTAACAATCTGAAACCATACTCTTAATGTCTCACTATTAAAATCAGAATAGACAAAAAAAAAAAGCTCTGTAAAACATTCTTATGCATTTGAGGTACTTCCAGTAACACTTGTTAATGATCTGGAAGTGCAATATTAAAACTTTTTCGTTTCCCAACAAAGTCTAGGGAAAATAAATATTCCAATGTCTCAATTAAGGAGGGGTTGGTATGGGTTTGTAGGAAAAAAAAAAAATCACTTTCTTAAGAATAGATTATGAACATTGTACAGGTAGGAAAATTAATTTAAAAAGCCAATGCAGTTGATTAAAAAACAACTAACCAACAATAAGAACAAACCAACCAACCAACAACAAAACCACAATCAGAAACCAAAGCTAAACATCTGGGGTTCAATAATTACTGTCTACCTTTCAGAAGTGTTCTGTTTTGGTTATCTGGAAAAATATTTGACTATGTGCTATGTAACATATCTTCTAAAATGTGGCACCTTTCCTTGCATTATAATGCTTTTGTAACATTACACCATTTGTTGTAAGAAATGGTATTTCTTCAGACCGGACCTGCTGGAGAGGAGCTCTGAGGAGAAGGACCTGGTGGACGACAGGTTGGCCATGAGCCAGCAGTGTGCCCTGGTGGCCAAGAAGGCCAAAGGGATCCTGGGGTGCATTAAAAGGAGAGTGGCCAGCAGGGCAGGGGAGGTGATCCTCCCCCTCTACTGTGTCAGGCCTCACCTGGAGTACTGTGTCCAGTTCTGGGCTCCCCGGTACAAAAAAGACAGGGAGCTCCTGGAAAGAGTCCAGCGGAGGGCAACAAAGATGATACGGGGCCTGGAGCATCTTCCCTATGAGGAAAGGCTGAGAGACCTGGGTCTGTTCAGCCTGGAGAAAAGAAGATTGAGGGGGGATCTTATCAATGTTTACAAATACCTTAAGTGTGGGAGACAAGGGGATTTGGCCAACCTCCCTTCAGTGGTTTGCGGGGACAGGCCAAGGGGCAATGGTCACAAAATGGATCACAGGCAGTTCCACACCAACACGTGAAAGAACTTCTTCACGGTGAAGGTGACGGAGCACTGGGACAGGCTGCCCAGGGAGGTTGTGAAGTCTTCTTCTCTGGAGATATTCAAGGCCCGTCTGGACATCCACCTGGGCAGCCTGCTGTAAGGAACCTGCTTTGGCAGGGGGGCTGGACCCGATGATCTTTCGAGGTCCCTTCCAACCCCTTCAATTCTGTGAATTCTGTGGACAGGTTATGCCTCTCTGAAACAACATTTGAGATCCTTTTCAAAATAGCAATTTGGAGATAGCAATTTGGAAAGTCCAAAATACTCTACAACTTCCACCAGGCTCCCAGGAATGGATTGCACTGTTCTTTAAATCAACAGACACTGTCTCACACAGCTTGATTACTAGCAAAGAGCTTTATCACTGACATTTTTGTGAGGGCTTCAGCAATAAGAAGTGCTGCCCTTGAATCCACTGGCTTGGAACCCACCCTGCATGACCAAGATTTGTGAGTAATGTGAGTGCACTAACACTTGCAGGTAGGTTGTTATTCTGTGGGAATTTGTCTGAGGCTTTGGGGGACTATGGTCCATGAATAAACAGTCCCTGAAGTCTGACTAGCATCAGATGAAAACATAGCACTAGTCCAGCCAGACCTTTCAAAAACAATCAGTCTTAAAGACAAGGAGCTTCCAGCGGTCTCTTCAGGGATGTAAGCTCCCAACTCCTGCAATAGGATGCCTCCAAAACAGTGGCATTTCATACCTTAAAGTGGCCTCATTTGCTTGGTGTCTTCTGTTTCTTCCCTCAAGCACCAGTAATTACATTCCGGGCAGATTATTTTGAAAAGCACCTGTAGTCTTGTTTGAATACAGCTGTTGGTAAGTCACTGCAGCTCTTCTCCATGCTCTTGCAGGTATTAGTATAGAAAGCAAACCAACAAAAGGACAGTATGCAGCTGTCATCTGAACACTTTTAGTTCATTTTCAAATAAAGAGACAACATTCCACTGGGGAAAAGGAAAACTTCAGCACTTGCAGAAAATGCCATTTCTATGTTTATGCACCAAGACTTCAAAATTCAGCATAAAACTTCAAAAAAACTCATGGTGCTAGAGAATACATTTTCTGAATCAATATATCCTGAAGATGGGTGAGAAAGATTACACAGGATAACAAATGTTTTTAAAATTTATGTAGTAACAAACTGGCTCTTGGGCTATAATATTATTTAATGTAATTTTTGATAATGCAGCTTTAAGCTTTCCCTGAACAGACTACAAAATCTTACTTTTTAATAGACTGTCCAGAAACCACAACTATTGCTATGCAAACCATTCCTCTATCAAAATGCATGGGAGTACACTATACCTCAGAAAACAGCTGAGTAAACTGTTTCTTGATCTTCACTATATGCTACATATTGATCTAAAATATTCATTCAGCATTTGTTTTTTGAGAGTGGAAAGGAGAGCAGACCAGGCATTTCACAGAATAGGCAAGAAGATGTTTTGGTGCACCCACACATATACACATATTTTGAATTCCCTGAAAAGTTAAAAAAAAAAAAATCCAATCAGAAATCAGCCTCTTACTCAGCAGCAAAGAAGGTATTCTGAAGTATCCCTACCTTTTCTATTCCTACTGATATTTAAAATTTCAACCAAAGAGTAATTAAAGTCCAATAGACCTGTTCCATACTTAAATTTAAATTATAGCTAATACGATGTATTACGGAGATATCAAAGCATGGCTGTGTATGCTGGAGGTAGGAGGAACTGCAACATTTTTTAGTGTAAAATATAAAAAAAAGCACATCTACTGAGCAATTGATCTTAAATATTTCTGATTGCAAGAAAGCTTCAGATTAGCAACAGTGTTTTGACTTCTTCACACTGTTAAAGAAAAACAGAAAGCAATACTTTTTTGACAGAATGCTTTTTTCTCAGACCTCTGTGTTACTTAGATGCCATTAGGTATCTGTTACATTACATAAATGAGTGGTGTCCATTTTGCTTTTCTAAACTTGTTGCCCTTCAGAACTAAAACAGTTTGCTAACATAAAACCTATTTTTGCCATCCCAGACTTTGTTACTTTAGCACTCAAGCAGACTAACAAAAGATAAAAAGGGAAAGGAAATAGGAGAAAAAGGAAGAGGAAAGAAACAATACATAAATATTTATTACCAATTTTTCTTATATGCTTTTTGAAATGTATAAAAATAATCCACATACGTTCTTCAGCTCAATTACTTACAAATAACCTATCTGTAGAATCAAGTAAGTCTGTCAGTTGTGCAAGTTTATTTTTCCATGTGCTATCTCGAGATAAGCAAGTCTGTAATATTAGATTTCCACTGACATAATTGTGCATGAATTCTGATCTGATTTAGTATTACATGGTGCAAAAGGTGACACATTTTCTTTACTACAGCCCATTAGAAAAGGAAAGAAATTGCCAGCTTGTGAAATCTGAGGAGTTTTATTGAAAGACTGTGGGACTTTGAGGTCAACTCGGTGGAAAAGTAACTTGCTCAACTACCCCAGGCATTAAGCACTGTGACAAGCAAACCAAATACCCAGTGTAGTTACTCAGTTAGACAATCAATAAAAAACATTGCATTATCAGACTGCTACAGCTGTATTTTAACCTATCGTATTACCTCATCTATTCCCAAACCAGTCAAACACACATTTGCTGATCACACAGATAACACAGATACCACCCCAGTCCTTAAGCCACACTTAATACTAAGCAAGAGTGGTAATAGAACTGTTTATTGCTTTTCCATATGCCATAAATTCTAATTTTCTGTTCTATCTAGATGGTGCACCAAAGGCTGCATATCCAAAGTGCTACTGAGGTGGTGAAGCTGGCTTCCAAAACCAACACCTATGAGATTTGAGGTTAGCTCTGCATGTGCCCTCGTGGATGCTCAGCCAGCCCCTGCTCCCCCTGGGCTCCTCCTTACCACATCCCTGCCCACCTGGTGCCAATCCATTCCCTAGGTTGTCTCTATCTTTGTTTTTTGTTTTTGTTTTTGTTTTTGTTTTTTGCCTCTGCATCCCCATCTCCTTCTGCCTGTTCCACCTCCTGCAGGCTCTTCCACTCAGTGCTGCTCCCACCAGGTTCACAGGTGGTGTCCGTGCCTGTAGCATGGGACTCAGCAGAAAAGCCAGTGAACCCAAAGGAAATGCAGTCCAGACCTGGCAGGAGCCCACACTGAGCAGGAGCAGCCGTGGTGGGTCCCAGCCCCACCTGAAGGATGCAGGCTCATTCCCTCTATGGGAATGCACGAGGGAATTCACAAATGGAGCAAATCTGCAGATTTCTGCTGAGGGCTGGCAAACTGCTGCCTCTTCCCCAGCTCAGATCTCCCTCCACAAACAGGGATACAGTTTTGCAGAAATTAGGAAAGCCTCATCCTTCACATTACAGCCACCTGTCTGCCTGGCTATTTTCAAGTCTCTGCTAGCTATGGTACAGGAAGGTAGATAGTAACAGATTTTTTTCCAGAAAATTTTACAGAATAGTAACAGTATTTTTTCCACACTGAAAAGCAATACATTCTTCCCTTCACTTGTAAGTTGAAAACTAGAATGCTGCTTTACTGGAAAGTTCATGTGCTTAAATAATTGGCCTATAAACTTCATCATTCTGCAGCGTGAACATTAGAAAATGTGGTGCATTTCATATACCAGTTCCCAAAAGACACCAAAACCAAGGAGCTACAAAAACAAATCAGCAAAGATGGAACTGCTATCCCAGCAGAAACTAGGAAGGGATGCAGGGTGGAAGAACAGGAAGAAACCTTTTTCTGCCACGGAGAATCTGCAGAAGTATTCAAATATAATTTGAACTCTCCAAAAGCAAGTATACTGCAGGGCAGTGTAGCAGAAGGTACCTGGTAGCAAAAAGCCCGTAGCAAAGTCTCTAGATATCTGAAGTCTCTGTCACTTAGGAGCTGTATGTCCACAAACATCTGCTGGGATGGATGGAAAAAGTTACCCCTTTCTGAATGGAAGCATATCTGAATTTTTCTGAAGTTGATGATCACAGCAGTTCATTTAGATTGCGCACTAAACTGCCACACCTTTGCATCTTTTACAGTAGCGATCAGTAAATGCATAAGATTGATATCTACAAAACTAAAAAGTAGAACAAAGGCAATTATATGTACTATTTGTCCACAAGCTTTATGTACACCCAATTTAACTGTTTATGAGCTGCAAATGAAACCTGAGTGGCAGCAGACATTGCTCTCTGACACAGTGCACTCTGTCTTTGTGGATGCTGCTGCACATTGCCGATGCTGATTTCACACCACGTTCATCTGGGAGCAGCTTTTGCACTTAAATTCTTTGGGGCATGGGTGCCTGCCTCATTTTGTCAGTATTACATTTTCTGGATGGCCTGTCCTGCAAATTCTTCACTGATCCACACATTAGCTTAACTAACCAATACAAAATCTACTGACACATTGATACGTCAAGCTGCACACAAAATATATACATGCTGTTTGCAAGAAACTGCAATTTATTTTCCCTTATTCCTGTATCAGTCTGCATAAAGCACAGCAATACCTGATAACTGTCCAGTGAAATGCTTGTAGTTCACATTGCACTTTTTCTTACAAGCATTTCAGTTAAGCAAAAAGCACCTACATAGTTTTAAAGAAAGACTTTCAGTTGTGCTGTGCTGCTGGCCTCAGCAGCAAACCTCAGCTGAAAACCAAGACCATGACTTGCTGCAGAGAGCCACATTACTGGGCATCGTCCTCACCCACATCGTCTTCTGCCACTCCTTCATTCACATTCATGTTCACATTCACATTTCACACCTCACCACATTCATGTACTGGGTCCAAGCAGCACTCACTCAACCTCATGCTAGTACGTCTGAAACCACCTCACTCTTCTATCCGACTTCCAAAGTTGTGCCTTATCCATTGCCACCTCTGCTTTCTGTGCAACTTGAATGAAAACCTGTTCTGTATCATGGGTTCTACATTTTGCTGTAGGACAAGACCAAAAAACATGTCTAAAACAGGTGTTTTGGGCTGCTCTTTGGAAGGATAAAATGGGAAGTTACAAATAAACCTAAAGAAATATTTGTGTGGTTGACAAATACTCATGTTAGGGGATAGAGGGGCTTGTTTACTTTTGCAAGCAGTATGTGACAGTGGCTTAAACAGAACCTGGATCTCATGAGACTGTGTGCAACTACATTAAAGAAAATCTAGAAGATATGTTAGAGAATGGGAAATGGTTCATTGTCCCTGCTTCTGAAGCCACATAACAAACGAACGCCCTTGGAAGTGAGGAGCCAAGTGACCTGCATACATGTGAAGGTTTCAGTGAGAACCCAGCAATAAAAGCTTTTGCTCTTTTCCTTTAACACTTATCATTCGTCTCCCCTGAGTCACTGAGAAGACCACACAGATGCTTTTACTACACATCATTTTATACAGCCACTTTTTGAGGAGCTTGGTAAAATACTTGGTAAAAACAGATCTTTGCTTAATCTCAAACAATGTCATTCAGCTTGGTTATGTTGAGAAGTAATACTACGGGTAGAGGGAAAATGTAGGGCAAAATTATGTCATATTCAGAAACAGCTAACGTAATTAAGACATATTCTTCATTTAATTTAATAATTTATTGAATTATACTTGGATTACTTAATAAATGAAGAACATTACCCACACTACATTATTCACAGGTGAAAAAAATCATATACATGGAGGAGTGTAATTTGTTCAACAGTTTATAGACCCACAGTCCTCCAGAGACAACCTCACACACCTTTAAAGTGCCAGACTTTAAAGACAAATGTCACTAACGATCTTACTAATGTTAGTGTGATACTGATCTCACTAATATTTGTTTTATTACACTGATTTTGACTGCACTGGGGTAAAGAAGCCTGATCCTGCAAGGTCAAACTCTCAGTTATCTGTTCTCAAAGGTGCCTGCTTTGACCACAGAGCCCCTTTGGTGCCCTAGTCCTGAGTGGGATGAAATTATGAAACTGAAGGTTAAGGAAGTGACTGTGCAAAATGCCCTCGTGATGCAAGTTCCATCCAGGCAGAATTAGCTCCATGACTGAGACTGGGATGATCCAAAGATCAGAAAACAGCATCAGCTGATGTTTCAGTTCCTGGGCTGAAGCAGTCTGCCCCTTCACCCCTCCTAGTAGGTACGTAAACCTCATGACCCTTATGACTACCCCTCTGTGAATAACTAAACTGAGGTGAAACCAACTGCTTGACTTCTGCAGCTACTTATTATTCCAGAGTACTCTGTTGTAGGTTTGTTTCATAAGTAGTGATAACCTAGCTAAGTTTTTAGGGGACAACAGTTTCATGTGCAGCTACAGCTTAAATGCAAGCTGTTTAAATTTTATTATTTACAGCTGATATTTAAATGTTAGTGAATGTAGCTTTCTAATGGTGGAATCAAGCTACAGCTGAACTTGTGTGCCTATTAGTAACATTTTGGAACGTCCTCCTTTTACTCCACTGACTGACTATTTCTTTCTTGTTTTCCCACCATTTGTTTTATGGGAATCAACTTCCACTAAATAGATTACAAGCTTCTCTTTTATAGAATATATATGTATACACTGTATTGAGTTTACCTTTTCTCCTCCTCATGATGTACTCTTGGAAAAAAAAAAGGCAGGACAGGCTACTGAGACAGGTTATAAACTTGGCTTGGCCTGAAAACAAAGTTGGTACCTTCTGGCAAAAATGATTAAAAGCTTTAAAATGTTTTAATTTGATTCAACTATCCTTTATTATAAGAGCTTTTAGTTATCTTGAAACATACTAATATTGAATGAGAATTGCATAGATTTTGTTCTTTGCAAGAACAAAGCCTGGAGAGAGAATCATCAAAGAGTACAAATGATTGGAATATTTTGTATTACTAAAATATTGTTACTGTTAATAAAAAAATTAAAATAGAATAGGGCTCATACTGTGTGTCTTCTTCCTCTTCAGTCTGTGATAGTAACGTTACTCACTGGCCCAATTCTGTGACATGCTGAGTGCTTCCCACAAAATGCTGAGCTGAAATTCTCTGCAAATATCTGAAAACTATGTGGGACTTGTTCAAAGAATAAAGCTATGTGAAAAGTGTACCTGGACTTTTTAAATGACAAACTAAAATCTTTATTACATACGTAGATTATGCATATTGACCACTACATTATCATTACATAACTGTGCAAAGACCCTTTTGATAGCTTGTTGATAACTTGACTTCATGTAATTTAACTGACCCTTATTTGCTAAGATAGCGTGTAAGCCAGTGTTTGGAAGGAAGCCAAAAAATGAAGAGAGAGAGAAATCAGATTAAACTGTAAATCTTTGGCTGGCATAGATTTAGCAAGCAGTATAGAACATATGGGATGCAGAATCCAGTGCTATTTCTTTGAAAAACTAGTATTAAACTAAGGACAAATGTCTGAGCCAAACTCATCTCAGTTCTTAAATAGGTAACATGGAAAAGAAACAAAATTAGAAAAAAAAAAAGTATTGAACTGTTAAACATTGCTTTGCAATTGATACAGCAAGAAGTGTACTTGCCATTTTTTTATTAGTCATATTGCAACTGAAGATGAAAGTTTATATTCTCCAGTTAAAAAAAAACATCCCGTGACCTTAAATTGACACTCCTGTCTACTTTAATTGCAGCAGAGGGTAAAATAATAAAATAAAATAATAAAATAAAATAAAATAAAATAAATAAAATAAAATAAAATAAAATAAAATAAAATAAAATAAAATAAAATAAAATAATCCAGAATATTAGAGGCAAATGTGTTGTGTAAATCTACCTTGTCAAACTCCTCTCAGTAACGCACACACCACTTTTGATAAAATGCCCTACTTTAACTAAATACATGCACTTGAGTCCTTATCATCCTCAACTTATTACCTCTGTAGCTCTGCGACATGGGGGTGTTGGGCCACAGCCCTCCATCATGCATCTCACAACCTACATCAGTGCGCGCCCACACGGATCTCATCAAGTAGCCCAGGAGTTGCCCTTTCCCTGCAAGTAAGTGACTAATATCTAAGCTGGCTCTAAAGAAAGACACTTTTCATAATCGCCCAACAATCTGCTAAATGAAAACATATGGATAGGCTTAGGTAGAGCCTGCCAGGGGTCTTTGCTGAATGGAAAACAGGTGCTCCAGTTCTGTGCCATGTAATACCCCATTTACCGTTAAGTCCAAAGGTTACAGGACTAATAGCTGCCTTGTGGTAATCACAGAGAGCAAAGACACCAGCCATGGTCAAACATCTGGGACATATTTTACATACTTGCAACATATGCTTCAGTTTCAATTAAAGCGAGGCTTTGGCACATTTATTAATCTTTTTACTTTTATCACATAAGAAGACCCATTTACCTGACTTTTCTATTTTACCATATGAGAAAACAGAGAAATAATAAAAGCCAGAGGTCACTACCAGCTGGTGTTAAAAATGTATCTCTGTTTTCTCACAAAACTTCATTTTGCACACAGCTTTAGGAAAACACATATGTGAATTAGAATAATATGAAACTGCACTCCTTCCATTTTGACAAAAGGATGTAACAGGACCCGCAGTAATAAACAGAGTATGTCCGAGTGCACCACAAAGGAGAAAACACCCTACTGCACTTCCAACAACAAAAAGTTCAGTCCTAGAGAAGCACTTATGTTTTACAGTTCAGCCCAGTGCCTAATAATGCCTGCTTTGAGGGCTATTGAATATACTCGGTAGCCCACATATTTTTAAGAAGCGTGATTTTCTTTTCAGTTCAAACAGCATATTCAATTATGAAAATTTAAAATGTTTGCAGTAATGGAAGCAGCTTTGAAATTATACAGATAATCCTAAGCACCCTCTATACAGAAAGACAGCTCTTAAATATTCAATAGAGGGGCTCACTTAATGCATGTGGCAATGCTAGTTCTTACTTTTATTTGATATTGGTAACTATATCTAGAAAAAATCTATGAATTCTATTGTCAATTTGAGAAAGCTAAATATTAGATCACAACATTGAAACCTAGAGTGATATTTCTAACTGGGTGCATCTGCCTGGCATCTGTTAACAGCCACGGAACTGGGTGAGGGGTACCAGGGAGAGGGAGCTTGCCCCCCACCTTCATCTTCCCTTTTTAAGGAGTTTGTTTAGCAATCTCCAAAAACAACTATGTTGTAACTACAGTGTCTGACTTAAACTACAAGCAGCCAAGCATTTTTCTTCGTGAACTAATCACAGTTATTTAAAACATCCAGGAGCACATGTACTACTGGGATGACACTTTTGCACCAGCTCTAATAATAAAGCAGGAACAAACAGGAGAAAAGGGCCTCAAATGGATGGCAGATCACTGTTTATCAGAAGAGAAATGATGATTCAAAGCCAGCATGTTGAGTTAAAATACAAGCTCTTCACAGCTACACGGCTGACCTTTGCAATAAATCATATATTTTATTGCCAGAAGTGCATGCTCATATCATTTAGTGTTAAAAACCATCACCTATGTGTTTTGTAAAAGAAGGTTTTGTTACTACAGTGTTTGCCAATTCTGAAATGATGTAGCTAACGATTTAAGTGATGTATAGAAGAATTTCACATAATATCTTTCTGTCAATTGTAAAATGTTTGAGCTGGCAACAGAATGAGGAAAATACTCCTTTTTTTATCATCTCTCAGATCTTAGGTGTTAGCTAGCAGAAAAATAATCATTCAGGGGATTAACTAATCACAGTGAATTTTCTGACATTTCAAATGCTGCTGCCAGCATATGAATTCTTACAGTGGTATATAACTGTACATCTCAACTAGAAACAAAGGTCAAGGGCATAAATTAAGATACACTGTTTTTCTCCTCACAAAAAAAAAAAAAAAAAAAAAAATTGCTGCATTATTACAACAGAAGTGTGTGAACATCTGTGAAGGTCAAAATCATCTGTATTTTTTTAGCTTTTCTTTTTCCTTTTCTTACACAAATACCATCTCACTGGTATCAAAATACCAGAAACAACAGGACTATCTGCACTGTACTTGTCTCACCAGAAAGGTGTCCTGCCAGCGCTAGCCATTGCTTCAGTGGTGCAAGGTCATTCTAATTTCTTTTCTCCGGTTTTTCCTTCTCCCTGGGGGACAACCAATCCAAGCAGTCCCATAGCTTGGCTCAATAAGATGTGGAAACGAGCTGTTATTTACTGTGGTTGCAATCCTCAACCCAACCAGCAGCCTACAAAGTGAACCAGTTTTCTCCAATAGCCGAATCATCTGCAATAGTTTCCTGCCTTGCTGGGCCACTACGCCAACTTCAAATCAAATGGATGCCTATGAGAATTGTGATTATTTAAATGTCATACAGAGTGCAAAACATTTCAGCCATTCTTCTACCAAGTAATTCTTTGAAAATTATAGATGTCAATATCCCGTCTTTAACCAGTATGGAGTTGCTATTTTTACACCATTTTCCTCCTAAAGTGCAGCCCTATTTGTAATACTCAAGACAGGACAAATTTTTGTCCTTCAAAAACAGTTGTCACTGCAGTTATCTTCACAAGAGCTATCAAGTTCCAGACAAGCTGAATTATTTTTGTTCCTGGCAGAAAAAAATATTTGACCCAGCTCCGGACCAAGAAAGGAAAAAAAAAAAAAAAAAAAAAAGCAGGATTTATAGTCCTCTATCCTTTCCTGCAACACACAGTAGCATTGTTAGGATGATAAACAGCTCTGTCCAATTTTCTGGACTAAAACACTTCAACTCCTTTTTTAACTGTCTGTAAAAACAGTGTCATGTCTAAATTCTCCCATCCCCAGGTACCCAAGTGCTAGGAAAGATAATTACCTTGTCATCTCTGTCATCCTCTTCTTCCTCGTCCTCTAGCATGTCCTCCACTACCTGCAGACAGAAACAGTAGTAGTTGTCATGATTTAAAAAGGAAGAGTTTTGTTCTGTCAATTCTAAACCTTTTGTAGATGAAAACTTTATTAACATTTGAAATAAATGCACAGAAGGAAAATGTACAACCAGGAAAAAACTCTTGATCTAGAGATTCAAATTTTGGAAAGTGTTATAGCTGTAATTGACCTACATTAGGGAATTATATACTGAAAACCCTTCCTGTACAAAATGCTTGCTTGACAATTTAAGTATTTAAAAGGTAGTTCAAAATTCAATGTGTGATAGTTTTAACTAAAGGAATCCTTTGTCAGCTCCACTGGTGGCTATACAGAACACACACACTCTTGCTTTAAATTTACTGTTACCTAGAGAAACTTGTAACATTTTAAATAAAATTTATAGCATACATCGAGATATTTTTGAAGAATAAAAAGCTGGGAATAAATTCATATTAGCTTGTCTCTTACGATCTACAACAGTGACACATACCATATGCTCTATTAGCATTAGCACTACGTTTCTAATAGTGATTTTATACAATCTGTGCATCTAACTTTCCTCACATTCATTGCTAACTGTAGCTGCCACATGTACACATGTATTTTTCCATTTAAATATTTTTTTCAGTCTAACACTATGAAATATATACGTTCATTCAATTAATTTTACAAATATTAATGATTTATTAATCACAGAATGAGCATTAAATGAACCACTATTAAAGCCAGTTTACAGAGCAATGAAATGACTTTCTGAACATGGGCTCTGGCTGGATCTGTCTCAAAACCCAATCCAACCCATTCTATGATACTATGATATGAAGTCATGAATCCCTCTCTCATAACACTGTGATTAACTCTTCAGCCTACCTGATGGGAGAAAATTCTCTGTTGACAGAATGGAAATAAACTGGTACCCACTTATATGAGGAAAGATGTGGCAACTTATATTGTTATTTATAAGTAAATGCTTATTGTAATGTAAGAGCAGCCATAACGAAGCTCAGCAAAGATCCACCTAGCCCAGTGTCATATAGATGCCTAACAAAAACCATGTACTATGCATTATAAAACACGCAGAAAAAAAGGTCAAGAGAAGGAAAAAAACACATTAGTATGAAACATTAGTACTTTAGCCTATGTTATGGAGTTGCCACCATATGAAGTGATAGTTTCCTTTGTTATATAGCTGAAGTCACAAATGGCTTAAGTGTACTTGTCATTTAGGATAACACATTCAAATTATAACCTCAGCATTAGTCCCCAAACACAGCTGCAACAAACATTAGTCCCCAAACACATCTGCTTGAAATCCATGTCTAAGAACTGAAGGACTTTAACATGATTCAAGGGCGAAATTCTGGAATGGGTTAGCTCAAACATCAAGAAGATCCCAGTTAATAATGCTCCAATGGCCTAGGCAAAATGTAAACAACACATAACATTGATACAACATGTACCCACAGCAAAGTACTCTGCCTACATCAGCTGCACAGGTCATATTTCCAATTTCAGATGCTCATCCTTGTTTGAATCCATTTCCAAACCACTTCTAATAACATCTGTGGGATTTTGGAGGAGCCCCCAGTTATATCTACTGGTTACTGTGTTCTGGAGCTTAGAATTAAAAGTAGTACTAGAAACACAGAGACAAGTAAAGAGTAAGCATGTCCAATGGCACATGTAAGTAATATAACCCGAGTAACTGATGAACAACCCCTCTTCTATTTTTTTTTTCTTCTGCAAAGCAGAGCAGTTTCAACAGGAAGGGCCTAACTGGCTGGATTGTCTGCAGCCTCTGACCTGAGGCCAGCCTTCACAGAAAGGCAGAGGCAGATGAGAACACACAAAGGCCAGAGGAACCACACCTAGGCTTCAGACACTTGCTGTGAAAAGGAATTTCCCCCCCCCACCACCACCATGCTCTCCTCTGTTCCCCCTCTGGGTCAGCTCTGCTCTATTTCTTAAAGAGGGAGGATCAGAGACAAGGACCAAAATGTTCAAGATGGTGATAGGCTAGTTGAACCCTTTAGCATGGAGAGATGGAAGCGTTGAAAATGTATTTTTGTAATGCTTGTTAGCTCCTGCTTAGTTCAGTGTTCCATTTTATGGATCCAACTTGGCGGTGCCTGAGGACACAGTTTCATAGACCTTTCTGTGGAAGCAATGACAGCTTCAATTTCTCACGAACCTGCATCAACTACTTGTTCCTCTCAGGGTAGCTCACTCTTATCTTCCCTACACTGTTCCAAGTGCTTGTGGAGCTCAGCTGTAACTACATCATTGGAATGATCCAGTTCTTAAAGAAAATTCACCCTAAGACTTCTTATGTGGATGGTTTTAGTGCAGTTTATAGAGCAGCTCCAGAATTGCTTGCATCAGCTCTACAGAGGAATTGGTGAACTGAGGAGAGGATGAAAACAAGCTGTTAAGGGCTGCAATGAGATGGAAACCCTCTTAAATCAGTTTTGTCACACACAAAAAAGGTCTGTAATTACATCATTAGGTGACTAAAGCCCAAGGTATAAACCTAAATCTGTTGACTCAGATACTGACTACGCCTGGAGCTGACTAAACTCACTAGGTCTCTTACTTTTCAACATTAATATTCCCCAGACACTTAAAGATCTCTTTTATGTACATCCAGAAATTCCTTGTCTTGACAGGATTGAACAGTGGAATGCCTATCTCACTTTAGTGCTAAAGTTAGCTTGGAGACAATTAGCTGAATTGGAAACCTCTAAAATTGTTGCAAATGATGGCACCTCACTGAAATCACTTACATGACAATACCCATTCTAAATTATCTGGATAATAATACTTCAAATTCACTTTTTTTTTTTTTTTTCTTCCTCATCTAATGATCTCAAACTACTTTACAAGCTTCTATAGAGTAGCAAAATGTTAGCTTGTTCAAAGGACATAAAAAGTCCTTTGAAATCCCCTGATCCCAGATTTCCAGCTCCTCCATTCCATTTTTTAATTCAAAAGCCACTACCAATCTGTGCTCTTGTTCTAGGTTAGTCATACCATCAAATACATTGAGCTTTAGAATATTGAATTGTCTGGAAAGGAAACAGAATTCAATTAGTGTAGCAAAATAAAATGTAGTAAAAGTGTTCACATGTCCAAGATGCAGGAATTATTCTTTAAAGAATATGAAGCATAGTCCACATCCTCACTTCTCTTGAAATTCAAAAGGAAGAGTTAAAAATACCATGAATGTTCAGACAATATGGACACAATAATACGATTTATTACAGCACCAAATTCGAGTGTTTTCAGAACTCTGACAGAAATTAAAACAAGGAAAACAGATTCTTCATAATTGTATGATATATGAATAATTGGTATGCTGAAGCCTAACACAAGCTGTATACTGAAGTACAACCTATTTTTGCAGAACACAGTAAGGCTTTTCAAGATATGTTCAGTGAATCTCAGCAACAGATTTCAGTTTAACATCGTACTAAGAATACTGTAGAAAAAAAAAATCCATTTTGGATTTTTTTTTCCCTTTGATAGTGCTTCGTTGCTATTCAAATAAAGCGCGTATGTGCTGCTTGGGTTTGAAGCAACATAGTAGTTATTCAAATCTCTATGTCAACCATTATACCTTAGGGAGATATAATGGAGAGAGGGAGGAGAAGGAAAAAGAGGTAGAGGGAGAGAGAGGGAGAACAGGAAAAAGCATATGAAGATAAAATGAAACATTAGAGTTATTTTATTAAAAGTTCTATGGCAAAAATCTTAGATTGCCCCTAGAACACTCACTCTAAATTATGCCTTCCGATAGCTTGCTTGAAATCAAGTAGTATTAATCAAACAAAGGAAGGGCACTGGGGAAATCAGAAAGATCTAATGCAAGCAGTTAAAAGTGACATGACCTTCTGTAATGTCACTTGTCACAGACTTATATGCCGCATACTGGTAGAAGGTCTTGAAAGAACCTGATTCTTGGTACTGTTCCTTGAATGTAATACTAATACAAATGACATTTTAAAAAACACATGTAGACATCCTCAAATATGGCATGTCAGCTACTTCACAGCTAAACAGTAAGCAGATGTTGTTTAAGTGTTGCAAAATAAGATCCTTTCTGTGCAAAATAGCCCTGTTAAAAATGTATTAATCGGGAAGAGCATACAGACTAATTACCACACACTGACATTGCTACTGACCCATTCCTACCCTCTTTGAGGCAAAAGAACTTTGTCTATAAATATTGTGCAATTCATAATTCATACAAGATTATTGAAGCGCTTGTTCTGTCAAAGCAGCATCTATGTGTAGCTAGGTCAAGCAAGATTACCAGAAGAAAGCACAACCACTGTATTTGCATCATAGACAAAGCCCAAATACTTGTGGACTAGAATGCTGTTTTCTTAGTAAGTTAGTTAATTGCAAGACGCATTTATTCCAAAAATGATCTAGTGATCTAAAACCAGTATAGGACTTCTGAAAAAATATTTAATTGCAACTTCTAATATCAACGCCTGCAAAGTATGCTATAAATTGTAATTATTTACAAGTATCTTCAATTAAAAATCAGTGATTGTAGAGAACTTTACAATTCGTCCTGAATCTAAGTGCTTCATGGAAAAATGGCACATTGAAACTTAACACCACTTTTAAATGCCCTTCTTTCTTAGTGTCAGCCTGCTGTTTCTCACACAAAACATGCACTCCGCAGGTTACTTAATGAATTGTCTTCTGTTCTAATTTCTTTGGCAAATCCAACAGAAACACCCACACAGAAGAAACTTTGATGACTTTATATGATATTAGTATGAGACACTTGCAGTACCAGATTGCAGGTTTGCATAATGTCTGTTACCTTAGTAGCTTTTTTTTTTTTTTGATGTGACGTACACAACAATCCATAGCATTAGTGTTTCTCTAGATTTGCTTGTGTCTTACTTGGTTTAGGCCTTCAAACATAGGTGGTCTTAAGTGAAAAACAAAAGAAAACAATTTATGCTGTAACATATGCTACAG